AAGAATTTCTACACACCGAATACTGTCCCAGCACACGCAGAGACTTCAGGAGGGAACTGTTTTGTGTGATAAGTTGCCCCAGTGCTGTTGCAGGTCAGAACACAAGGAGCGACTGACTCATTGCCTGTTGAAAAGACAGCCTGTTTGTCTTGCTGCAACCTGCTTAGTACTTAGAACCTGTTTTCACCAAGGTACTCTCTCTCTTCCTTTCCTACTTAATCCACCTGGTCTGCATCCATTTCCCTAACATTCACTGTTTTAGCCGCATCTACTTATTCTTCACTCACTTCATCCAGTTCCACTGAAGACAGTGAATTCTGACTGTTCTATTTCTTTTATTCCAAACATAGTATCCAACAACTAAATGCTTCCTATGTCTTCTAGGGTAGCTATGCCCAAGCATTTAAAAACAGAAACATGAATTTTTAATACAAATGTCTTTTTTTTATTGATTCTTTACACAAACTTAGGGCTTTAGAATTTTAAAAATTATATGGATATTTGATAATACCAGTAAATTAAGAGTGCACTGCAAAACAGATTATAAACAGTGCACATTACATAAAAATTAACTCAAAATGGATCAGCCTAAACATAAAAGCTAAAACTATAAAACTCTTTTTTTCTTTTTTTTTTTGTTTTTTTTCGAGACAGAGTCTCACTCTGTCGCCCAGGCTGGAGTGCAGTGGTGCGATCTCGGCTCACTGCAAGCTCTGCCTCCCGGGTTCACGCCATTCTCCTGCCTCAGCCTCCCGAGTAGCTGGGACTACAGGCACCTGCCACCATGCCTGGCTAATTTTTTGTACTTTTTTTTTTAGTAGAGACGGGGTTTCACTGTGTTAGCCAGGATGGTCTCGATCTCCTGACCTCATGATCTGCCTGCCTCGGCCTCCCAAAGTGCTGGGATTACAGGCATAAGCCACCACGCCTGGCCCTTTTTTTCTTTCTTAAGAGACAGGGTCTCACTCTTTTGTCCAGCCTAGACTGCAAGGTGCAATCACAGCTCAACACAGCCTCAATCTCATGGGCTCAAGTGATCCTCCCACCTCAGCCTCCTGAGTAGCTGGGACCACAGGTGCACACCATCACACCTAATGTTTTTTTTTTTTTGAGAAAGAGTCTCACTCTGTCTCAGGTTGGAGTACAGTGGCATGATCTCAGCTCACTGCAACCTCCACCTCCTGGGCTCAAGCGATTCTCTTGCCTCAGCCTCCTAAGTGGCACACACCACCATGCCCAGCTAATTTTTGTATTTTTAGTAGACAGGGTTTCACCATGTTGGCCAGGTTGGTCCCAAACTCCTAACTTCAAGTGATCTGCATGCCTCAGCCTCCCAAAGTGCTGGGATTACAGACATGAGCCACCACACCAAGCCTAAATTTTTTTTTTTTGGTAGAGATGAGGTCTCACTCTATGGGCCAGGCTAGTCTTGAACTCCTGGGCTCAAGCAATCCTCCCACCTCAGCCTTCCAAAGTGCTGGGATTACAGTTGTGAGCCACCACGCCTGGCCTAACATTTTTTTTTTTTTTTCCTGAGAGATAGTCTCGCTGTGTTGCCCAGACTGAAGTGCAGTGGAGTGATCTCAGTTCACTGCAACCTCCTCCTCCCAGGTTCAAGCGATTCTCCTGACTCAGCCTCCCGAGTAGCTAGGATTATAGGCATGCACCACCACGCCCAGCTAATTTTTGTATTTTCAGTAGAGATGGGGTTTCTGCATGTTGGTGAGGCTAGTCTTGAACTCCTGACCCAAGGTGATCAGCCTGCCTTGGCCTCCCAAAGTGCTGCGATTATAGGCACGAGCCACCATACCTGGCCTGGCCTAACGCTCTTGGATGGGAGCAGTGGCTCATGCCTGTAATCCCAGCACTTTGGGTGGCTGAGACAGGTGGATCACTTGAGCTCAGGAATTCGAGACCAGCCTGGGTAACACAGTGAAACCCTATCTCTACTAAAAATACAAAAACTAGCCAGACATGGTGGCACGCACCTGTCGTCCCAGCTACTTGGAAGGCTGAGGCAGGAAGATCACTTGAGCCCAGAAGGCAGAGGTTGCAGTAAGCTGAGATCATGCTGCTGCATTCCAGCCTGGGCAACAGAGTAAATACCTGTCTCAAAAAAAAGAAAAAAGAAAAAAGAAAAAAAATTAAATTTAAATTAAAAAAAAAAAAACAACTTTGTGGTTCAAAGAATATCACCAAGAAAGTTAAAGGCAACCCACAGAATGGGAGAAAATATTTGCAAATCACATATAGGATAAGGGACTAGTATTCAGAATATAAGTGTCACAATTCGATAATTAAAAAAAACTCAGGCCAGGCGCGGTGGCTCCCGCCTATAATCCTAGCACTTTGGGAGTCCGAGGCAGGCGGATCACGAGGTCAGATCAAGACCATCCTGGCTAACACGGTGAAACCCATCGCTACTAAAAATACAAAAAATTAGCCAGGCATGGTGGCATGCGCCTGTAGTCCCAGCTACTCAGGAGGCTGAGGCAGGAGAATCGCTTGAACCCGAGAGGAGGAGGTTTCAGTGAGCCGAGATCGCACCACTGCTCTCCAGCCTGGGCAACAGAGGGAGACTCTGTCTCAAAAAACAAAAACAAAAAAACCACAAAACTCATTTAATAAATGGACAAAAGGTCTGAACAGACAATATTCAATAAATAAAAATGCTCAATATCATTAACCATCAGAGAAATTAAAATCTTTTTTTTTTTTTTTGAGACAGGGCCTTGCCCTGTCTCCTAGGCTGGAGTGCAGTGGCACGATCTCGGCTCACTGCAATCTCCACCTTCAGGGCTCAAGCGAGCCTCCTGTCACAGCCTCCTGAGTAGCTAGGACTACAGGCATGTGCCACCACACTTGGCTAATTTTTGTATTTTTTGATAGAGATGGGGTTTTACCATGTTGCCCAGGCTGATCTTGAACTCCTGGGCTCAAGCCAGTCCCCTGCCTTGGCCTCCCAAAGTGCTGGGATTACAGGCATGAGCCACTACATCTGGCCAAAATATAAATCTAAACCACAATAAGATACAACTTCACACCCAGTAAGATAGCTGTAATCAGTTCTACTCCTAGGTAGCTATCCCAAAAGAAATTAAAACATGTACTCTTGGCTGGGCAGTGGCTCATGCTTGTAATCCCAGAACTTCGGGAGGCCAAGGCAGGCAGATTGCTTGAGCCCAGGAGTTGGAGACTAGCCTGGGCAACATGGCGAACCCTCTTCCATACAAAAAATACAAAAATTAGCCAGGCATGGTGATGCACACCTGTAGTCCCAGCTACTCAGGAGGCTGAGGTGGGAGGATCGCTTGAGCCAGAAGCAAAGGCTGCAGCGAGCTGTGGTCGTGCCACTGCACTCTAGCCTGTGTGACAAAGTGAGACTCCATTTCAAAAAAAAAAAAAAAAAGTGGAAACAATTAAATGTCCATCAACAGATGAATGGATAAGCAAAATATGTTCTGTCTACACAATGGAATATTCTTTTTTTTTTTTTGAGACAAAGTCTCACTCTCTCACATAGGCTGGAGTGCAGCGTGAGCTACCATGCCCGGCAACAATGGAGTATTCTTCACATGCTGGCCAGGCATGGTGGCTCACTCCTGCAATCCCAGAAGTTTGGGAAGCCGAGGTGGGTGGATCATTTGAGGTCAGGAGTTCAAGACCAGCCTGACCAACATGGTGAAACTCTGTCTCTATCTAAAAAACACAAAAAAATTAGCCGGGCATAGGTTGGACAAGGTGGCTCACACCTGTAATTCCAGCACTTTGGGAGGCCGAGAAGAGTGGATCACCTGAGGTTGGGAGTTCGAGACCAGCCTGACCAACATGGAGAAACCCCATCTCAGGCCGGGCGCGGTGGCTCAAGCCTGTAATCCCAGCACTTTGGGAGGCCGAGACGGGCGGATCACGAGGTCAGGAGATCGAGACCATCCTGGCTAACATGGTGAAATCCCGTCTCTAGTAAAAAATACAAAAAACTAGCTGGGCGAGGTGGCGGGCGCCTGTAGTCCCAGCTACTCGGGAGGCTGAGGCAGGAGAATGGCGTGAACCCGGGAGGCGGAGCTTGCAGTGAGCTGAGATCCGGCCACTGCACTCCAGCCTGGGCGGCAGAGCGAGACTCCGTCTCAAAAAAAAAAAAAAAAAAAAAAAAAAGAAACCCCATCTCTACTAAAAATACAAAATTAACCGGGTATGGTGGCACATGCTTATAATCCCAGCTACTCAGGAGGCTGAGGCAGGAGAATCACTTGAACCAGGAGGCGGAGGTTGCAATGAGTCGAGATTGTGCCATTGGACTCCAGCCTGGGCAACGAGAACAAACTTCCATCTCAAAAAAAAAAAAAAAAAAATTAGCCAGGTGTGGTGGCCCTCGCCTGTAATCCCAGCTACTGGGGAGGCTGAGGAAGGAGAATTGCTTGAACCTGGGAAGTAGAGTTTGCAGTGAGCCCAGATAGCTCTACTGCACTCCAGCCTGAGTGACAGAGCAAGACTCCAAATCTCAAAAAAAAAAAGATCCATGCTACAACATGAAACATTTTCCTAAGAGTAAGAAGTCACATACAAAAGACCACATATTGTAGGCTATTTACATGAAATGTCCATAATAGGCAAATCTATCAGACAGAAAGTAGATTAGTGATTAGCTAGGGCTGGAAGGGATGGGAAAGATGGGGGAGTAACTGCTAATGGTATGGGTTTTCTTTTTCAGGGGTGATGAAAACACTCGAAGACTGACTGTGGCAATGGATATACAAGTTAGTTAATATAATTAAAAAACCACTGAATTGTACACTTAAAAGTGTAAATTGTACGCTATGTGAATTATATTTCAATAAAGCTATTTAAAAGAGTAACTATGTGTCGAGTCTGTAAGGGTCAGAATCCCTGGTCTAGACCCCATCTGCCATATTTCCGGTATTTTAGGACTTTATGAGGGAAATAACAGTCCTTGCAGGGCTGTGCTGAGTTCATGTAGACTTCCATTCCCTGGCACTCACCTCTGAAAGGCAGAGGGATCCACTCAGGCCAGGTGCGTGGATACTTGACATCGATGGCCGCTGGACATTAGCCATTTACGCCCATCCACACGGCTCCAGCCATCTCTGTGGAACACCCATAATAATGTTTACTTTACTTGTTCACAACTTTTTAACAAAAATAAATCATTTACCAACTTGACTCCCATCCTGATAAAGTCAGTCACGTGATTACAAGTGCGATAGTCTGATTCCATTTTGGACGGTTGCTGACAGCTTTCAAGCCCCCACCCCTTTCTCTTTCTCCCTCTCATCTGGGCATACTAACAAGAAAGTATGAATGTTTCCTCCTTGGTGCCAGCAGGAAGTTCAAACTATGCAAGCCCCAACCCCAACCCCAATATCTAATCACAAAGAAAGCCCAGCCAAGGCCGGGTGCACTGGCTTACACCTGTAATCCCAGCACTTTGGGAGGTCAAGGCAGGAGAATCGCTTGAGCCTAGGAGTTCAAGGCCAGCTTGGACAATGTAGTGAAACGCCTTTAGCCAGGCGTGATGGTGCATACCTGAAGTCCCAGCTACTTGGGAGTCCAGGAGCTCAAGGCTGCAGTGAGCTGTGATTGTGCCACTGCACTCCAACCTGGGTGAGACAGCAAGACCTTGTCTCAAAAAAGAGAAAACAAAAACTAACAAAAATTATATAGTATCGGCCGGGCGCAGTGGCTCACGCCTGTAATCCCAGCACTTTGGGAGGCTGAGGCGGGTGAATCACGAGATCGGGAGATCGAGACCGTCCTGGCTAACATGGTGAAACCCTGTCTCTACTGAAAACTTCAAAAAATTAGCCGGGCGCGGTAGTGGGCGCCTGTAGTCCCAGCTACTCGGGAGGCTGAGGCAGGAGAATGGCGTGAACCTGGGCATTGGAGCTTGCAGTGAGCTGAGATCGTGCCACTGCACTCCAGCCTGGGCGACAGAGCGAGACTCCGTCTCAAAAAAAAAAAAAAAAAAAAAAAAAAAAAAATTATGTAGTATCAACTTGAAAAAGTTTACTCAAGACCTCAAAGGGCATTTGAGTAAGTGAGGAGCTAGACCAGGTACACAGATGAAAGGGCCAGGTACTGAAACCAGGACAACTCTCACTAGACCCGTAAAAGCAATGCCTTCCAAGCAAATCTCTGGAATAATTTTACTGAAGCATGACAAAATTCACATTGAAGACGACAGCTCCTGAATATCCATGACAACTCCTTAAAAAACAAAAGGAAGAGAAGAAGAAGAGCTGGGAGTAGTTCTTTTGCCAAAAGTCAAGGCTTCTCCTTAAAGTTTCAGTAAGCAAGCAACCCAGTGAAGGTACAGGAAGGACAGAGCCCCAAACAGACTTGGAGGCATATAATAATTTAGAAGGTGGGAAAGGTGGCCTCACACATTAGCACAAGTAAGTATATCTCTTGCTGTCTTTTCGGACGGAAAAATAATTACAATTCCAAATTCACTCACAGTCGCCCACATGCTTATAAGACCTACATAGTATGTGAGAAAAAATTTTTTTTGAATGATTAGAAATATAGAACTAGGCTAGGCGCAGTGGCTCACGCTTATAATCCCAGGACTTTGGGATGCCGAGGCAGGTGGATCACCTGAGGTCAGGAGTTCGAGATCAGCCTGGCCAACACAGTGAAACCCTGTCTCTACTAAAAATACAAAAATTAGCTGGGCATGGGGGCAGGTGCCTGTAATCTCAGCTACTCGGGAGGCTGAGGCAGGAGAATTGCTGGAACCCGGGAGGTGAAGCTTGCAGTGAGCCGAGATTGTGCCACTGCACTCCAGCCCGGGCAACAACAGTGAAATTCCGTCTCAAAAAAAAAAAAAAGAAAAAGAAAAAGAAATATAGAACTACATCTTTGAGTTAGAGTAGAAAAATGTTGTTGTTGTTGTTTTGTTTGTTTTTTATCAGATGGAGTCTCGCTGTGGCCCAGGCTGGAGTGCAGCGGTGTGATGACGACTCACTGCAACCTCCACCTCCTGGGTTCAAGTGATTCTCTTGCCTCAGCCTCCTGAGTAGCCAGGACTACATGTACCTGCCACCACATGCAGCTAATTTTATATCTATATCTATATCTATCTACCTATCTATTTTTTTTGAGACAGAGTCTCGTTCTGTAGCTGGGCTGGAGTGCAGTGGCACGATCTCGGCTCACTGCGACCTCCGCCTCCTGGTTTCAAGCGACTCTCGTGCCTCAGCCTCCCAAGTAGTTGGGATTACAGGCATGCGCCACCACACTCAGGTAATTGTTTATATATATATATATATATTTTTTTTTTGAGACGGAGTCTCTCTCTGTCACCCAGGCTGGAGCGCAGTGGCCGGATCTCAGCTCACTGCAAGCTCCGCCTCCCGGGTTTACGCCATTCTCCTGCCTCAGCCTCCCGAGTAGCTGGGACTACAGGCACCCACTACCTCGCCCAGCTAGTTTTTTGTATTTTTTAGTAGAGACGGGTTTCACCGTATTAGCCAGGATGGTCTCGATCTCCTGACCTTATGATCCGCCCGTCTCGGCCTCCCAAAGTGCTGGGATTACAGGCTTGAGCCACCGCGCCCGGCAATTGTTTATATTTTTAATAGAGATGGGGCTTCACCAAATTGGCCAGGCTGATCTCGAACTCCTGACCTCAGGAGCCATAGCGCACAGCCAAGAATTTGTTTTGTTGTTTTTTTTTTAAAGAGACAGAGTTGGCCGGGCGCGGTGGCTCAAGCCTGTAATCCCAGCACTTTGGGAGGCCGTGACGGGCGGATCACGAGGTCAGGAGATCGAGACCATCCTGGCTAACACGGTGAAACCCCATCTCTACTAAAAAATACAAAAAACTAGCCGAGCGAGGTGGCGGGCGCCTGTAGTCCCAGCTACTCGGGAGGCTGAGGCAGGAGAATGGCGTAAACCCGGGAGGCGGAGCTTGCAGTGAGCTGAGATCTGGCCACTGCACTCCAGCCTGGGCGACAGAGTGAGACTCCGTCTCAAAAAAAAAAAACAAGAGACAGAGTCTTGCTTTGATGCCCAGGCTTCAATGCAGTAGCATGATCATGGCTCACTGCAATCTTGAACTCCTGGACTCAGCAGCTATGACCATAGGAGTATGCCATCACATCTGGCTGTATTTTACTTTTACCTTACCTTACCTTACTTTACTTTAACTTTTTACTTTATTTTAATTTTTTTGAGACTGAGTCTTGCTCTGTCACCCAGGCTGGAGTGTTGTGGCACGATCTTGGCTCATTGCAAACCCCGCCTCCTGGGTTCACACCATTCTCCTGCCTCAGCCTCCCTAGTAGCTGGGACTACAGGCGCCCTCCCCCATGTCTGGCTAATTTTTTGTATTTTTAGTAGAGACGGGGTTTCACCGTGTTAGCCAGGATGGTCTCGATCTCCCAACCTCGTGATTTGCCCGCCTTGGCCTCCCAAAGTGCTAGGATTACAGGCGTGAGCCACCACGCCCAGCCATTTTTTTTTTTAAATGTTTTGCAGAGATTGGGTCTCACTATGTTGCCCAGGCCGGTTTCAAACTCCTGAGCTCAAGTGATCCTCCAGCCTCAGACTCCCAAAGTGCTGGGATTAAGGCATGAGCCACTGCATCAAGCCAAAAAAATTTTTTTTCTTCCCTTTTTTTTTTTTTTTTTTTTGAGACAGTGTCTCACTCTGTCACCCAGGCTGGAGTGTAGTGGCATAATCTCGGCTCACTGCAACCTCCGCCTCCTGGGTTTAAGCGATTCTCCTGCCTCAGCCTCCCGAATAGCTTGGATTGCATGTGCCTACCACCATACCCGCCTAATTTTTATATTTTTAGTAGACACGGGGTTTCACCATGTTGGCCAGGCTGGTGTTGAACTCATGACCTCAAGTCATCTGCCTGCCTCAGCTTTGCAAGGTGCTAGGATTATAGGCGTGAGCCACCGCGCCAAGCCAAAGAATTTCTTAAACAACTCATAAAAGTAACAAAACATAAAGAAAAAGATTTGAAACCTCTTACTATATCAAAATGTGTAATACATCATGAACATAAAAGAACATTCAAAGTACCATCTCTAGAATGGCTTATCAATTACAGAAGGGAAAAAGTGGAGGATCCCGGCGAGAGCACTTTAACCACATGACAGAAGTCTGATCACCACCAGCCTCACATGCTTCCTGACATGACACACCAAGAAGAACATGATGTCACTCAGACAATGCCCTGCCGAAGATGAGAGTCTGAATTTAATGTTGGGAACATCAACTGAACATCAAGTGACAATCTACACAACCACCAGCTGGGTCTTTTAAAAATATATTAATTTCATGAAAAAAAAAAAAAAAGAAAGGGGAGTGCCATTCAAGGTTGAGGGAGACTAAAATAACATGACAAGTAAATGTAACACAGGATCCTGGATCAAAAGAAATACCCCAAAAATCATACAAACTATATCAGCTACATACAAACTATATCAGACAAGAGTTCTGTATCGATAATAAAGTACCTGGGGCCAGGCGCAGTGGCTCACTCCTGTAATCCCAGCACTGTGGGAGGCCGAGGTAGGCAGATCATTTGACGTCAGGAGTTGAAGACCAACCTGGCCAACGTGGCAGAACCCCATGTCTACTAAAAAGACAAATATTAGCTGGGCATAGTGGCACAACGCCTGTAATTCCAGCTACTCGGGAGGCTGAGGCAGGAAAATCACTTGAGCCTGGGAGGTGGAGGTTGCAGTGAGCCAAGATTGCACCACCGGACTCTACCCTGGATGACGGGGTAAGATTCTATCTTTGGCCGGGCGTGGTGGTTCACGCCTGTAATCCCAGCACTTTGGAAGGCTGAGGTGGGCGGATCACGAGGTCAGGAGATCGAGACCATCCTGGCTAACACAGTGAAATCCCATCTCTACTAAAAATACAAAAAATTAGCTGGGCATGATGGCGGGCGCCTGTAGTTCCGGCTACTCAGGAGGCTGAGGCAGGAGAATGGTGTGAACCCAGGAGACAGGGTTTGCAATGAGCGGAGATCGTGCCATGACACTCCAGCCTGGGCCAGACTCCATCTCAAAAAAAAAAAAAAAAAAAAGAGAACCCTATGTCAGAGGTGTTTGAACCAAAGCAA